TGTTGCGTTCAGGGCAACTTTGAGGACTTATCGCTCTATTGACGAGAGTCGATAAGGTAGAAGTGTTGCGTTCAGGGCAACTTTGAGGACTTATCGCTCTATTGACGAGAGTCGATAAGGTAGAAGTGTTGCGTTCAGGGCAACTTTGAGGACTTATCGCTCTATTGACGAGAGTCGATAAGGTAGAAGTGTTGCGTTCAGGGCAACTTTGAGGACTTATCGCTCTATTGACGAGAGTCGATAAGGTAGAAGTGTTGCGTTCAGGGCAACTTTGAGGACTTATCGCTCTATTGACGAGAGTCGATAAGGTAGAAGTGTTGCGTTCAGGGCAACTTTGAGGACTTATCGCTCTATTGACGAGAGTCGATAAGGTAGAAGTGTTGCGTTCAGGGCAACTTTGAGGACTTATCGCTCTATTGACGAGAGTCGATAAGGTAGAAGTGTTGCGTTCAGGGCAACTTTGAGGACTTATCGCTCTATTGACGAGAGTCGATAAGGTAGAAGTGTTGCGTTCAGGGCAACTTTGAGGACTTATCGCTCTATTGACGAGAGTCGATAAGGTAGAAGTGTTGCGTTCAGGGCAACTTTGAGGACTTATCGCTCTATTGACGAGAGTCGATAAGGTAGAAGTGTTGCGTTCAGGGCAACTTTGAGGACTTATCGCTCTATTGACGAGAGTCGATAAGGTAGAAGTGTTGCGTTCAGGGCAACTTTGAGGACTTATCGCTCTATTGACGAGAGTCGATAAGGTAGAAGTGTTGCGTTCAGGGCAACTTTGAGGACTTATCGCTCTATTGACGAGAGTCGATAAGGTAGAAGTGTTGCGTTCAGGGCAACTTTGAGGACTTATCGCTCTATTGACGAGAGTCGATAAGGTAGAAGTGTTGCGTTCAGGGCAACTTTGAGGACTTATCGCTCTATTGACGAGAGTCGATAAGGTAGAAGTGTTGCGTTCAGGGCAACTTTGAGGACTTATCGCTCTATTGACGAGAGTCGATAAGGTAGAAGTGTTGCGTTCAGGGCAACTTTGAGGACTTATCGCTCTATTGACGAGAGTCGATAAGGTAGAAGTGTTGCGTTCAGGGCAACTTTGAGGACTTATCGCTCTATTGACGAGAGTCGATAAGGTAGAAGTGTTGCGTTCAGGGCAACTTTGAGGACTTATCGCTCTATTGACGAGAGTCGATAAGGTAGAAGTGTTGCGTTCAGGGCAACTTTGAGGACTTATCGCTCTATTGACGAGAGTCGATAAGGTAGAAGTGTTGCGTTCAGGGCAACTTTGAGGACTTATCGCTCTATTGACGAGAGTCGATAAGGTAGAAGTGTTGCGTTCAGGGCAACTTTGAGGACTTATCGCTCTATTGACGAGAGTCGATAAGGTAGAAGTGTTGCGTTCAGGGCAACTTTGAGGACTTATCGCTCTATTGACGAGAGTCGATAAGGTAGAAGTGTTGCGTTCAGGGCAACTTTGAGGACTTATCGCTCTATTGACGAGAGTCGATAAGGTAGAAGTGTTGCGTTCAGGGCAACTTTGAGGACTTATCGCTCTATTGACGAGAGTCGATAAGGTAGAAGTGTTGCGTTCAGGGCAACTTTGAGGACTTATCGCTCTATTGACGAGAGTCGATAAGGTAGAAGTGTTGCGTTCAGGGCAACTTTGAGGACTTATCGCTCTATTGACGAGAGTCGATAAGGTAGAAGTGTTGCGTTCAGGGCAACTTTGAGGACTTATCGCTCTATTGACGAGAGTCGATAAGGTAGAAGTGTTGCGTTCAGGGCAACTTTGAGGACTTATCGCTCTATTGACGAGAGTCGATAAGGTAGAAGTGTTGCGTTCAGGGCAACTTTGAGGACTTATCGCTCTATTGACGAGAGTCGATAAGGTAGAAGTGTTGCGTTCAGGGCAACTTTGAGGACTTATCGCTCTATTGACGAGAGTCGATAAGGTAGAAGTGTTGCGTTCAGGGCAACTTTGAGGACTTATCGCTCTATTGACGAGAGTCGATAAGGTAGAAGTGTTGCGTTCAGGGCAACTTTGAGGACTTATCGCTCTATTGACGAGAGTCGATAAGGTAGAAGTGTTGCGTTCAGGGCAACTTTGAGGACTTATCGCTCTATTGACGAGAGTCGATAAGGTAGAAGTGTTGCGTTCAGGGCAACTTTGAGGACTTATCGCTCTATTGACGAGAGTCGATAAGGTAGAAGTGTTGCGTTCAGGGCAACTTTGAGGACTTATCGCTCTATTGACGAGAGTCGATAAGGTAGAAGTGTTGCGTTCAGGGCAACTTTGAGGACTTATCGCTCTATTGACGAGAGTCGATAAGGTAGAAGTGTTGCGTTCAGGGCAACTTTGAGGACTTATCGCTCTATTGACGAGAGTCGATAAGGTAGAAGTGTTGCGTTCAGGGCAACTTTGAGGACTTATCGCTCTATTGACGAGAGTCGATAAGGTAGAAGTGTTGCGTTCAGGGCAACTTTGAGGAAAGTAGGGTTTAAATTCTGAGAAGACTTTGTCAGATATTTTGTTTTAAACTGCGCCAAAGTTTTAAAACTCAAGCCACATATTTTCCGAAATATCTGATTCTGGGAACAGGGGTACCCCCTGCGTTCATACTCTTGAATTGAGCTGCGTATTTTTGAAAGAACGCATCTCCAAACTGCTGCGTTTGGGTCTGGTTCGCTTGCCTTTTGGACGCAGGGTCTTGTCCTGCGTCTTATCAGAAGCCCAAGCGGCTATAATGATGACGAAGAGTCCCTATTGGGGCGGGAGTCTCGGAACTCTGCCCTTTTATTATAAATAGGGCTGATTAGTCACGTCAAGAGGCTCCAACGTTTAAGCTTCTTTCTTGAACTCCCAAACGAGTTTCTTCTCGTTATTTCTAAAAACTGTTCAGCAGTTTCGTTTCATCTTCCAGTGATGGCCCCCAAGAGATCTCGCTCGAGCAATGACGACGAGACGGTGCACCCTATCCCGCCGTCAAGGAAGATTTTCGGGTCCTTTTCCTGGCCGACGTCGACGCCTCCCGCGCCTGGTCATCGAGGTAAGTCCCGCTGCCTTCTTCGTTCCCGTCATTCTTCATCAATGGGTTTTCTTGAAACTCTCTAGATGAGTTCTGGTTGATGATGACGAATAGAATTC